GGGCAATCTACTTCCGTAGTGATACTGCCTCGGAAACCCAAGGAGGAGTCACTATGAGTCAGGGCAGACTCGATGGCACATAACAACATAACATAACAGAACATCCTTAAGGAGCTCTGGTGGTACAGTGCCTCAGGCATTTGACTGCTAACCAGAACGTTGGCAGTTCAAACCCACCAGCCACTCCATGGAAGAAAGATGGGGAGATCTACTTCTGTAAAGGTTTCCTGCCCTGGAAATCCAATGGGGGTCACTATGAGTTGGAAATGAGTTGATGGCAGTGGTTTTTTTTTTAGAACACTCTTGGGGCAGTTGTACTCTGTCATACAGTACCACAATTGGAATCAACTCAATGACATTCAACAGAATACCATTAACACTCCTTTAGTGAAACCATATTTCCTCCAGCCCTTTTGGCCTTAACTTCTCCATAATGAAGAATCCTAAAAGTCCTTTTATCAAGGCCTATGTACCCCTAAAGAAGCCCTGGTGGATTAAGTGTTGGGCTGCTAACCAAAAAATCAGTGATTCAAATCCATAAGCCCTCCACAGGAGAAAGATGTGCCAGTCTGCTTCCATAAAAAGATTTATGGACTCATACCCTCTATGGACCAGTTCTACTCTGCCTTATAAAGTCACTATGAGTCAGAATCGACTTGATGGCTGTGTGCTTTTTTATGTCCCAAAGGAGACCTGGTGGTGCAATGATTGAGTGCTCGGTTGCTAGCTGAAAGGATGGAAGTTCAAACCCACCCAGCTGCTCTGCAGGAGAAAGACTTGGTGACCTGGTTCTGTGAATGTTACAGCCAAGAAAACCCTATGGGCAGTTCTATTCTGTCACATGGGGTCACTATGAGTCAAAAATCAACTCCATGGCACTTAATAACAACACAGTGCACACCCAATGATCACCAACTAGTTTTTTCAGCGTTGACATGGGGGAAGCACAAATTGAACAAGAGTTGGGGTTCAAAGGAATGTGGAAACAGTCTTCACAGTAGGACACATGCTGATCAATTCTTTCAAAACTAGGGGCTTGTGTGTTTTCTCTAAGTCCATGTTAGCATAAACTTTGAAACACTACCATCCAAAAGGCCGTTCTGGGAACCACAGAGCTTTCCTGGAAACAAAAGGGAGAGTGGTCTGTGGAACCTTGTAGCCATGGGATTGTTAGGAACAGAATATGAGCAAATTTGTGGGTATGGACAAGACAGCAAAGTAGAGGCATGGGAGGGAGGAACACCTCTGTGTGCTTTCAAGCTCTACCTAAACCCAGCTCTGCATTTTGGCCTCATCTTCAGGATTATCCTGAAAGGACTGATCTCAGTTGCACCATATCTAATTCCATGTTTCATAAAATGAGGGCTCATTGCTGTAAATGTACACTAAATGACTGTGAACAAGCACAGTGCCTCTAATGGCACATTCATTCTCACAAGGGGATCAGTCCCTATCAGACCTGACCTGCATTTTTGGTAAGCGTGCAGGTGCTGACTCTGGTTCAATTCCTTAGAAGTGCCTTCAGGTGTTTTTGTTTAACTTGCCTGTCTTGTCTCTTTCAGAGAAAGAGGAATCCTAGAAATCACTAAGTATCTGGAGAGGATTGGGGACAAAAAGGACAGCGGAAGAGATGCGCAATTATGATGGCAGAGAGCAGTCAGGAGGGGGGCAATCAGTAAGTAGGGCTATGAATGACCTTACAGAAACTCCACTGCAAAAACGGCAAGGAGGCCACATGTTCTGACCTCCTCTAATCCCACAAGAGGAAGACAGAATTATCAGCAGTAACCCAAGGCCTATTCCCGCAAGGCCAGATATGCTGCCTCCCTCTAGCCCTTTCACCAACCGTTCCTCCCAAAGCACCCACCACCTCTCTCCTGGGTTCGATAATTCGCTGCAGTGGCCACACAGAACTCACAGATTATGGGGTTTATTAGGGATGCACCAGGCTACAACTCAAATTCAGGAAGAGCGCTCAGTCCCTCTCCCAGCCCAACGTCCCTCAGCCAACAGTCTCTCACAGTCTCTTTCCCAGCAGTGCTGGTCCCTCGGTGTCTCCCTCAGCGATGTGTGTCTCTTGCATCTCTTTCCCAGTAGCACGTGTCTCTTTCAGGGGCACGTGTCTCTTTCAGGGGCGCGTGTCTCTTTCAGCAGCATGTGTCTCCCCAACCAGCAGTCCAAGAGAGAGTTCTGCCTCCAGGAGCCCTCCTTTTGAGCCCGGAAGGGTGGTCAAACTAGCCAATCATAGCATCAGAACTCTAAGCACGTGAGAGAGAGTGGGAACCTCCCAGAACATTGTATTGTGCCACACCCAACAGAAATAACCCAGGTGGGCGACTTTAAAATCAGGAGCTCCTCAGTTGCTAATAGCAATTCCCACCTTGGTGTTTACAAAGTCTTATGGGTAGAAAAGCCACACTAAGTAATTTACTACACCGCATCCACCTAAGGCAAAGTGAGGCTGATCTGCAACTGGCGGACAGGCCCAATATGCTGGGGCCTTACTGCCCAGAATGGGGATAGTGATATACCTCTTGGTTTCAGGTGCCAGACAGTCACACACTGAATCCTAGCTCTGCCACTTACAAGCTGTGTAATCTGGGGAAAATTACTTAACTTTTCAATGGCTCAAGTTCCTAATCTGTAAAATAGTGCCTACCTAAAAGAATATTATGAAAATGAAATGAGCTACAATTGGCATCACATACTACACAAAAACATTGTTCCACATCCTATTTTGGTGAGTAGCAACTGGGGTCTTAAAAGCTTGCAAACAGCTATCTAGATGCAATGACGGGTCTCTCCCTGTCCAGAGCAAAGAAGAATCAAGAAAACCAAGACACATAGAAACAATTAGTCCAAGGGAATGGTATACCATGTAATCCTCAGCCTATATGACCATGAGACCAGAACTAGATGATGCCCAGCTACCACTGTCAACCACTTGAAGGGGAATCTATGTAGGAGATCCTGGATAGAGTGGAAGAACAATGTGAAACAAAACTCAAAATCATTTAAAAAAAAAAAAAAAA